AAAACGACAACGAGCAATACATGATGCAGACTGATAGTAGCGAACATAGAGCATGGGCCGTCGATGATCTGCTAAGCCACGAAGTGTGTCGGCATTTATACACGTGCCATCGAAGATTCAAGCATTATCCTTAGTGGCAGCGTAGGTTCCAGAACAAACTCTGTTGTATACGTTGTGCCCGTAATCACTTTGGACGGAAGATTGTCAAGGTGGTTTCCAGTCATTCGGGCGCGGTTTGCACAAGGCAGCGTTACACACGAAATAGTGCGCTAAGAAAAGTAGAAAAGAGCACGTATGGCATCACCAGTAAAACATTACTGATTGTTGCTATTGCATTTATTGCTTCGCCGGTGAAACTGATTTTTATTTTTTCAGTTTTATGTGGTTCAACGATCTCCATCACAGAGCACACATGGTGCTTGGCAGTTGCTCGGCAACGGTGTGGCGAGGTTTTTTGCAACACCCCTACCGTCTTTATACGGTTTGACGAATAGAATTTGCTGTCAAAACATAGAGTCGCATAATGAGGTATGCACACAACCGCCACCTTAACAAGATTTGTGCATTCTGTTCACGTGGCGCAGGATTCATGCATAAACCGAATTACGAGGTGACCGAACTAATTTGATATGGACCCGTTTGCGTCTTTCATGTAGCCCATGCATGCTGCTTGGTCCATGATAAAACTTGACTAAATTTGGCATTGCACGCGCAAATTGCCGTTTAGGCGCAGCAGGTTCGATTGGCACAGAATTGCATAATCGGGGCAGCACTTCCACCCCCGGATATCTCAACAAACAAAAAAGTTGCTCTTCCAGGGTAGGCTCAAGGGTTATTCTAAAAATAGTCTGAGCTCTACTGGCTGTTTCGAAGGAAGTACAGTCTAGCCCACATATAACGGCCCTACTTAAAATAAACTTTCGCTTAAAACGAATAATATCCGCGTGACCGTGAAAAGATACATTGGTTCAATGGCACAAAATCACACTGTGTGACAGCTTGGCTTGAGCGTAATGCACATGTTAGATGCTGTGTTTCGGAGTGCTTGCTCATAGCTGTTGACCACCTGGCAGCCAACTTGCCGCTTCGGGGGTCCCGGTATTCAGCTGTGGAGATGGTGAATATTTCGTGGGTGGCGGTGATGGCTACATGCGCGCGAAACTCTTTTCCCAAGGCCGACTTCGTCGACGTCAAACGATGCCGAGCCTGAAGCTTCCGAACAGGATCACTCCGGCAGCGATTTGTGGCAGTGCGTCGACTCTGACCTGGGAGAGCAGGTGGGACAACTGTTGCGATGGTTTAATTATGGCTGATGATGATGCCAACACTGCGGAACTGTGCACGGATTAGGGCATTGTGAATGAATTACATGGCGAGAGCGATTTGGAGGAATCAGATTGTGAGAACGACGATACAGGGGGAAGAGGCAATTAGCCATTAGGCATCTTACTATTTAAGCTAGGGTGGTGAAAACTTATGACATAGTGTATTTACATGTGCAGATGTCAAATATGAACTCAGTTTTTATGTACTCCTTACCATTTTGTTTTTATTTCCCTTTTCAGTAATTTCACTGTACAGATCTTGCTGAATTAAATGTCAATGTATTCTACAATTAGCAAAGAGTGCAAAAAGCACGTTTCATGACTCTAGCTTTCCTACAACAAAAGTTATGAAGTTTAGAAGTTCATCCTTCCATTACCAAGGAACGATAATTTTTGTATTTTATTTTTTCTAAAAATTCATGGTGTCCTATAGTAGTATATGGCACTTTCTTGCACTCACTAAGCATCCAGCTTCTCAGCAAGACAAAAGTGATCAAATTCCAGTGTACCAAAAATGAGAAGCGCTTGTGAGAAGAATGAAAGGTGGCCAAAAAACTGAAACTGAGGAAATGGCAAAAAACAAAGCTCTGTATATTCAAGGAATTCTACACAAACAAAAATGCTTTTCTTGGCATATAACTGCCTCAGAAAGCACCAGGGCAGTAGCATTTGTCACAATGCCCCCACTTTGTCAATGCCCCCGCTTTGCTTGTTGCAGGAACCTGGAAGATGCTGAATGCTTTCGCTCGGCACTCATGATCCGACGAGAATCCTTCTCTTCTGCCCAGTCGCTCGCTCACAGAGTTTTGCTCTAGCTGAAGTTCTTTGAGGACACGTGTGGAGGCTTTTTTCATTCTTGAATTGAAGCTCATCACGGCCTCAGCAACTGCAGTCTTAACAGCTATGAGTGAAGCATGCTTCTCTTTGGGCATTAGAGACCATATGACAGAATGAAGTGCCTCGTTTGCATTTTGTGTCTTGCCTCTTTGGCAGCGTTTCAGCAGCTCCTTGTCACAAAGTCACTCGTAGACTGGAAGTAGTGCATCATGGACATTTTGTGGGAAGTTGTAGGCGTGTCTTGGCAGCGGTTCTCCCCTAGCAGCAGCAGCATTCTGCTTGCACCATGAGTCACTGCACTTGGGCACAAGGTGTGGTTGGACCTTTCATCAGTCGATGTCACATGATAGTATGTGGCCATGGCTGCCTGGTGCATTGCATCTACGTCACCAACATTAGATTTCAGAGCCCAATCATAGTATTTGGACAATTTCTCTATGAAATCACCAGTCAAGCGGCCTCTTCCACTTAGTGTTTCACCAGAACCTTTATGCTTTTGAACAAGATTGCGTAGAGCAGTACCCATTCGTTTTTGGACATGGTTTATACAGTCCTCCTTTTGAACCATAAACTGTCGAGTCTCCAACAGCACGAAATGATCTACTGTCCCCATCACACAGCATAACTGTGTACCGCAAGCCGGGACAGGAAATTAAGCGCTCAGAGAGTGTGACTGCTGCCTCTACTTCCATGTGCCTTGATTTGCACTGTGTATTTTTCTGGCAGATGTGCGATGACTCCCAAACCAAGTAATTTGGGTGCTCTTTTGGTGGTGCACACTTGCAGCCGGCACAATAATTTGACAGGACAACATAGTCTAAAACATACCCAGAAAACAGCTCTATAACAACACCCACACCAATGTGCTACAGGTGGCCTCTGGTCATCCATGTGCCATCATAACAGATGGCCACATTACCTGGGTTGTCAAAGCACAGATCTTGGTATAATGTTTCCACTGACATGGCACAATCAGAGAGGACCTTGTCTGCAGCTCTTGTTGCCGCAGAATTCAGTTTATTTTTCTAATGGCATTGATAGCTTTTGTGGTGAAGTCCCCTGTGAGAAATTCCCATTACAGAGAAGATGTAGTTTAGGGCTGCCTGGCCATTCCCTGTGCTTTGCACGGCACGAGACGCACGGATATTGACTTCAAATGCAGCGCATTCAGCTTGACTGGGTACCCTCCCAAAGCTCCACTCACTGTCCACAAGTCCACAGTTACGACACTCTGAAATCAGCTTCATCGCAAGTCCATATTCACGCTCACCTTTTTCAATAGAAATGGTCCCACTGCATGTCCGGCATTTAGCCGTTCTTTCAAGAAGCTTGTTTATCGCGGATAAGTCGACGATCCCGTAGGTGGCCGCCGACGGGTCCGAGTCCTCGCGCGCTGTCGCGAGTGTTCGCAGCTAGCGCTCGCTCACCAAAGTTGCCGATAAGCTGCTGATCTTATCAGCACTCACTTTCTGCTGTTGCGCAAGATCAGCGCTCGTCAAAAAGGGAGAAGGTTGTGTCTTTCCTTATGTGCTGCTTATCGCCGACGTCGTCAGAGGCAGCCGGGGAAACAGGCGGAGATGTCGGCGTTTCATCCGACAGATCGTGTTCTGTCGCCGCGCCATCCTGTACTAGGTGCGTGTCGGATATACCCGCGCTATTATCTCCTTTTGCTGTAGATTTCTTGTGATATGGCTTCAGCATAATGAAAGATTCAAGCCAGGTTCAAAACGTGGCCAATAGCGTAGGCCTAACGCACTGGCCCGGTGGCTGCGGAGCGCTTCGTCGGGCTGGTTTTGCGGGGTGCCTGAATGTGCAGACTTGAGAAATGCTTGCTCCAATTTCTCGCGAGCTCGCAAGGGTTCAAGAAGCCGACAAGAACAATGACATGTGAGCGAGATACACCGACCGCTTCACGTGCGCTTCAGAAAAACGCGGCTGAGAGCGCAGGCCTACCGCACTGTCCTGGCGGCTTCATCGAGCTCGTTCAGCGCCGTACCGGTATACCGTCGAACGTAGAAACTATACAGAAATGCTTGCTCTAATTTCTCACTAGCTCATGCGAGTTCAGGGAGCCGACAAGTATGGAGTGGCATATACCCGCCCCTTTGCGTGGGCTCCGCTGCCGCACGCAGCAGACAGCTCGAGAGGCCCGGCGGTTCGGAAGGCGCGATTTAGTCACGTGTGCTCACTGCACATTAAACTCGCGCGATGGTTTTTTTTTTTTTAACCCCGGATTCACGGTGGACATACTGAGTGGACAAAAACAAGTGTGGCGGGATATAAAAGAAAAAGAGCGGCTCTTTCCAATGCGACCAAGACGGCTGCTGTAGCAAGCATAGAACGGCAACACCGTGGCGCTGAAAAAGCCAGTTTTTCACGTGTCCATCGCCAAAAATTCAGCTCACTAACGTCGCATAATATACTATCATGGCTAAATTACCAATCTAGGACGCGCGAAATTGGCGAGAATAGGAAGCGATAGTGGGAGAATTCAAATATAGCATTTTCAAAAAATCTTATTTTATAGCGATTTTCGGTCTCAAGACCCACTTCTTTCCTTAAATGAACTCAAGACTGCCCTTATTGCTTCTGCTTTTCGAAACACGTGCATCACAGAATTTTTGGGCAAAAAAAAGTTTGTAATTTCACTAGCAACTTTTTTAAAAGCTGTGTTCCATTTACTACGAACTTTGAGATACAGCGAACGAATGCCGCGCCAAGCTCAGGTTTGTTATAAGCGGTCTCGACTGTATTCTAATGGAGCGTGGTCGTGGGCAGCTGGCTTAACACCTAAGCACGAATGAAATTGCAAATGAATGGGTACAGAATGAAGCTTACCTGTGCTCCCCAGTGAGGTGAATATGTTCTACTCGTTGCAACTCAAGGTCAGACCAGTAAAGGCGTTCCTCAGGGCAGTCCATTGCAAGGGCTCCTGGCTGCCGGAGCTCTTTGGACACGAGTGTCTGACGTGCTGAGCCATCCACAAACGAGCGCTCAATCAAGGCAGGGTTCACTAGGTTGGTCCACACAAGGACCCTGCGCAGGGAGTGAAAAACATCACATTTACAAAAATTTATTGTTTTGCAGCTTGAGCTGCCAATGTGGCTTTATTTGTCACATTAAATGATGAAAAATTACGAGACCCTTTGCCTTCAAGAGTTGAATGCAAAAGTGATAATCAGTTTTGCCTCTTTAGTCGCCTCATGAATGCATACGCCATGCTTGCCATCTTGGTGCTTGCAATTTACAATGCTTAACTCCACAATAATGAGCTGCTTTCGTCTCTGCAAAGTGGTGCATGCTGAATACAGTCCCGCACAACGATTGAGGTGGCAGCAATCGGCGCCTCAGCACTCTCATGTATTGGCCGGCTATTAAAAGCGTGCAGTAGGCTTAAAATGGCACTACGTCGTATATCTAAACTATGCCACAGTGCCTTCGACCTTTGTCAATGATTGTCAGAAAAGGCATGGCCACAAACTAAGAATAAGTGACCAGCCGATTTTGTGCTTTTGCAGCAGTGAAACTGTACTCATACCTGCCAAGTTCAAAGATTCTGAATCCGGGAGATTTCTGTTACAGGGGGGTCGTGCTGTATTATTTGCCTCCTTTTTTATGTCACCAAAAGAAAGGAAAAAAAAAAAACATTGCGAAAAACAAGATAACGGGGGGGGGGGGGGGGGGGGGTCCAATCGCAAGCGCAGACATTGGCGTTGCGGTCTTATAATGGCAACCGAACACAAGAGGGTAGGGTTTCACTAGCGCTGCTTTGACTGATCAAGCGCTGGACGTGCACAAACTTTCGGACTTGTGTCAGTTAAGTTATCGCTACACATAATCGTTTCAAGAACGACCGCGGCTTCGTCCACAGCGGTTGTGGCAACAACCACACGCACTGTAAAAGAGTGCAAGCACTTGCTCTCCGCGTACTTCAGAAGCTTCAAACACTCTTCTCCGACCTTCGCTCGATGGTTTCGGTACTAAAGTTCATATCACCCGCCACGATTAGGAAAAGTGTTCGAAACATTTTAATTGTGGCCCAATGGACACATAAATTTCGCTGGGGAATTTCACGAATTCGTATCTACCACGGTTTAGCATCACTGAGACTCCACTGTAAATTTAGATGAACGCCTCTAAAATTCGTTTATAATAAAATACGGTGGTTTTGCAAAAAGCCTGGAGTGAATTGAATGGCATTTTTGCCAATGCGAACAGACCAGCTCAGAAACTTAGATTCCCAAGAGATTTTCAAGACAACCGTACAAACGGAAGAAACGATAGAAATCCGGGAGACATAGCAGGTATGCTGTACCCCAAGGCAGCAGCCTTGGGAGCAGTGCACGTGTACAAGATGACCACCATCACGTAATATCTGCTCACGATGCATGCCGTCAACACTACTTTCGGTTCTAAAACCACCTTGTGGTGCAGAAATGGAGTAAATTAGACAAAAAAGATCTTTTTGAAGCAGTATGGTGCAGCGATTTCCAATCGGCGCAGGTTTCCCACCACTGCATTTTATAGATGAAAATTTTATTACAAAGATCGGTCGGCCATCTACCCTGTTTTTGATCACTGGTACTGTCATTGGTGTCGCCGACCTCAAGTGACCAGACCATTTGCCAACATCATCGATCACCCCGCGCGTACGCTACCCCACCTACTCTGATAATATGCGATTCGTTTCGTGTTTAGGACTTGTTCTTGCTCACTTCGCACTCGACTCAGCATGCCTTCCACATGCATGCGGAAGCGCGAAAACGGCTGTTGATTTGCGCGGTACGAATCACAAAATATCCACGTTCGTGAGGCCACGCAAACACGCCGGCACAACAAAACGATTTTTGACCATGGCCGCTGATTCTTTGAACACCGCCGCACGCACTGATCCTAAGCACTGATCCAGGCGGCCATGCTATGACTTCTGCGCGCGCAGGCACTCTTTTCAAGTTTTTCTACGTGTGAGTTTCCCGGACCTTTCAAGCAAGCTACCCAACCTGCCTCCTTCCCATGTGTTTTGATTTACAAGGTCGCCCTCCCGCTGCATCGTCCCCTCTCTTTATCGCAACTCCTTGCCCTAGTCTCGCAAATCTGCTCTCTTCTCTTGATCACAACCCTTTCGCTCGTCTCCACCGCTTCACGACCCCAGCCATGCTGGCTCGAATTAGTTTTGTTTTCTGGCTTGAAATGGGCCCAGAGCTGTTCCACGCGTTCTGGCATGAGTGTCACATGTGCGCGTCTTGCTCCCTCTTGGTGTGCGTGTGTGGTCATGATGGCCGACGGGAGGACTAGCACGCTTTTTTGTGCCACTCAACAAAATGTCGAAAGTGTGACCGCTTGGCTTGAGCATAATCAGTGCGTTAAGTGCCGCGTGGCAGAGCGCTTGTTCATAGCTATTGGCCACCTGGCAGCAAACTTGCCGCCTCGGGCGTCCCGGTATTCAGCTGTGGAGATGGTAAATATTTTGTGGGCTGTGGTGACGGCTACATGCACGCGAAACTGTTTTCGCGAGGCCAACTTAGTCGACGTTGGGCCCGATGCCAAGCCTGAAGCTTCTGAACAGGACCGCTGCGGCGGCGATTTGTGGCAGCGCGTCGTCGACTCTGACCAGGGAGAGCGGGTGGGACATCTGTTGCGATGGTTTAATTACGGTCGATGATGATGCCGACACTGCAGAACCTTGCACGGATTGGGGCATTGTGAATGAAGTACGTCGCGAGAGTGATTTGGAGGAATCGGATTGCGAGAACGACGAAACTTTGGAGCCAGTGCCTCATGCAGCTTATGCCATGGGCCTCAGCGAACGAGCACCCTGCCGTTTTAAACGAACTCGAGGCTGCCCTTATCACTTCTACTCTTCGAGACACGTGCATCACGGACTTTTTGGGGCAAAAAAAGTTTGTGTTTTCACTCACAACTTTCTTGAAAAGCTGTGTTTCATTTACTACAAACTTCGGGATACAGCGAACAGATGCCACATCAATCACAGGTTCGTTATAAGCGGGTTCGACTGTAGATACCCCACAAATGTAAAAAAGCAAATGAGAAAAACTGGAAATGCAGTATTCTAAGACAGATTTTGTTCCCTTTAGAAGCAGAGAAAGAGCTCTCACCCCAGGTGTGGGTGCAGGGCAAGGTGCCTGGGCCGGTCATCACCCGAGGCTAGCAAGATGCCCAGTGGACGCCCACTGTCCAGTGAGCTGATGTTGATGAGGTTGCCTTGGCTGCAGCTCCAGAATAGCTGCCGCGCATACGGGTCCAGTGCCAGGGCAAACGGATGGGCACCCGTGCTGACAGCCATGGTGGTCACCTGTGTCGTTGTCCTGGCTGTCAAAACATTCCTTCCCACTTTGGGAAAGCATTGCTATGTGGCAACAACTTTGCACTCAAGCCACAGCTAAACGCTGTTTTAGACAACTGTAAGGAAGTGCTTTTGAAATAGATTTGATAGCTTTTAGCAGCAGAAAGAGAAGCAGGAATTTGCGCTTTTGGAGCAACAAAAAATGCCAGGCTTGCACCCAGCACCATCTGCAGCGTAAGCTGGTGGAGTAACCATGTAGGTTGAAGGAGGTCCTCTCTATGCACAGCTAGTACAGAAGTCGAGATGCGTGCTCTAGTGTGATAGGAGCGGACGGAGAGACCAACGTAGGGACACTTCGCCCTGTCTATCATCATTCACTCTGTCGATACTGTGAAATTTTTGAATTATTATGATAGATGGGGCACTTAAATATGATAGCCCAATGGTACGAATTGCGAACGAAGCTCTCGCGAGCACGAGAATTGCAAAAAAAATTGTGGAATTTTGTTGTAGTGAAATTTCATCCATACACCACTGCATTCGGTAAGATCTGATTATAAGTCTTGTGCTTTGGTTCCAGCAAGCACATGCATTGAACTCTCACTAACTTGGAGGTACCTGTTCACACACCGAGTGAATGTAATACAGTCGAATCTCATTATTTCGAACACGATTAATTCGAACTTCCGGTTAATTCGAACTCACGATGAGGTCCCATTAAAGCTATGTGTATTCCAATGGGCTGAAAACGCCCGGTAAATCAAATGCTCAAGCACTTCTGACGATTAATTCGAACATACCGCGCTCCGAAAATACTCTCAGCACCCCGCCCAATCCTGCCGCGGCACCTGCGACACCTCAATGCTGCCCGCGAAGAAAATGAAAAGAAAGAAAAGGTTGCGGTGGAATGTTTGCTCTCTCTCAAATGCCAATCTGCGATGCGCCCATGTCAAGCTTCTTCCTTTTCTGTCCCTGCTACGTAAAAACCCTCCTCCTTCGCACGCCGCGCGCTAAGAGAGAGAGGAGGAAAGAACTTTATTCAGAGTCCGAAGGGTAGATGGGGTGGGCAAATGGCTCCGCCTAGGTTACAGCTAGGAGTCCTTGAATCCTGGCGGCTTCCTCGGCTCGCTGGACGGCCCACATTTGGTCTTCAAGGACGGAGCTGAGCATTGCGGCTTCCCAGCACGCGCGAAGGCTGTCAGCAGAGGCTGCACACTTGTTATGAGCACTAATCCCTCTACATACCCATAACATATGCTCCAGAGTGGCTCTGGAGTCACAACGCTTGCACCTGCCCGTTTTGTATATATCAGGATATATAATGTGCGAGAGTGCAGGATTCGGATGCGTCCTAGTTTGTAACTGCCGCCATTGAACAGACTGTCTTTTTGTTAATTTTGGGTGAGGGGGCGGAAATATGCCCCTCTGTAATCAATAATGTTTTGTAATGTCATTGTATCTCGTCATTCTGTCTTCCCACTCCCACTCGTCTGCTGCGCTGTAATCAACGGAGGAGGCTGGGGTGGCACTTGAGAGGGCAGCTCGGTCGGTGAGCCCTCAAGCTTCATCATGTACAGCTCCGTTGTTGCTGTCCCCCGCGATGGCGTGAGCAGGTGTCTATGTAATGTATGTGTTTCTGGGGCTTGTTCGACACCCTCCTTATAGAATACGTAGTGCCTCCGGGGAGATGCGGCCATTGGCGAAATTTCTCACTGCCGTTTGCGAGTCACTGACTATCACGGTTGCATTTGTCTGAGCTACTGCGAGTGCTATGGCTACCTCTTCCGCTGTCTCGGTACTTGTGGTGCATATCGTCGCGCATGTCGTACCGCGTTTGTTGCTATCGATTACGGCTGCGGTAAACCCCCGTCTGCGATACTTCTGAGTTCGAAGTATCGATATTCGACTGTATTTGGGAATAACATGCACAAAGTATATGGAAAATTCGGTGCTAAACTTGGCATGCAAATTAGAACAGAATTTTGGTGTGCAGGTTGGCTTCACGGGCACACCTTAACGGTAATGCAAGGAAGGCCACCTAGCAATAACACGCAGGTGCTTACTTTCTTTCTCGTCGGTTTGCAGCCGTAAGTGGTGGTTAAATACGGAGTTATGCACAAGAAAACGCGAAGTTCTAACAATCCTTGGAGCATGCCAACCATGCCGTGCCTCGTACGAGCTTGCAAAAGCTTCCAAGTACAGTGAAGATGTAACACTTCATGCTTTTTTACATGTTTAATGTTCATAATTTTAGGCTGCGCTACATGCCTATCTATGAAGCGTATTCGCTACCGTTGAACAAGATGATAGCGAACGTGGTTTTCTGTACAGCGGCTGCGGCAAACGGTACTTCTGCTTACAATTTGTGCATGCTCTTTCTCTGTAGTGTTGCGGCAAGCAGCATCGAAATGAGTCACTACACGTTGGATGGTACTTTCGTGGTGGCCCATCATCGTATCAACACGACCACACTTGTGTTTGCAGCATTTGCGACAGTTATGCTGTCACGCTTAAACTAAGCGCGCGCTAGCTGGGCGTGTGCCTTCATAACGCCGTTGTTCTCATTCACAATTGCACGGCCAGTGATGATGGGCAGCATTTATGCTTTGAGTGCAGCGTTTGTGAGTGTATTCGAAGAAACTACTTTCACCATGGGGTGGCAGTCTGCCACTAGGCCCTTCACAAGCACACAAAAGCGGTCTTTTTCCAAACCTGACCAATTATAGCTCGCGGGACATATTGTTACGGTAGAGCACACAGGGAAACGAGTGACAGATGAGATATATTTACACGATGCAAGGCGCAAGCCAAGATAGCGAGAGAGAGGGCACCCCTCATTTCAGAATCACGGTGTCTTTCTCGCTGTCCCTTTTGCTTCTATAGCGTGATGTAGTCTTGTAACATGAACCCCGAGTGCTGAAGCACCGTCTCGGTGCTTTCTATGACGTTGCTGAGAAGTAAAGCTTAAGGCAGGAGACATGAAGACTTCAGCGGGGCTATCCCATAGGTGACGTCGGTCACCTGGTGCAATACGTGATAAGGTCCCGAGTACCGGAAAGCTGTTTTTAGGGGTGAAGCCCCCTTAGGCGTGGGTCTGTCCATCCTCCGTCGTTGTTGTAGCCATCGGGATACGAGATGGCGGTACTTGGAGTGTTCACTAGATGGATGCATGGACGAACAAACAAACAGACTAGCAGACGAACGGACGAATGAATGAACGCACACAGCGGCATGTGCCACAGGGAATGCGAGATGGCGGTATTTGGAGTGTTCACTAGATGGATGCACGGACAGACAGACTAGAAGACAGACAGACATGCGCACGTATAGACGAATGAATGGTCATGCGAACGAATGGAAGCACTGATGGGCTGATGGACGCTTCATTCCACTCAATCATTCACTCCGTGAATATGCCGTGATATCCAGGGGCGAAGCTCCTTAAGGCGTGGGTCTGTCTATCCTCTGTCGTTGTTGTACGTAGCCACCGGGATGCGAGATGGGAGATGGTGATACTTGGAGTGTTGTTCCCTAGATGTACGCACGATGCATGGATGGGCGAGCGGAGTGGGTATGTGCCACAGGGGATGCGAGATGGCGGTACTTGGAGTATTCACTAGATGGACGCATAGACGGACAGACAGATGGACGGACGCGCGGATAGATGGACACACGGACGAACAAAAGCACGGACAGGCTGATGGATGCTTCCCCACTCATCATCATTCACTCTGTGGATATGCTGTGATTTTAGGGGCGAAGCTCCTTAGGAATGTGGGTCTGTCAATCCTATGTGTTTGTCGTACGTAGCCACCAGTGGCACATACCCACTCCAGAGCAGGTATGTGCCCCAGTGGATGCGAGAAGGCGGTACTTGGAGTGTTCACTAGATGGACGCATGGGTGGATGCATAGAGGGACGGACAGACAGACCAGCAGACGGACAAATGGATGGATGGATGAATGGACGTGCGGAGTGAATATATGCCACAGGGGATGTGAGACGGCGATACTTGGAGTGTTCACTAAATGAATGCACGGACAGAAAAACAGACAGACTAGAATACAGACGGACAGATGGACGGACACGCGGCTGTACGGACGGATGCACGAACAGAAAGATGGACGGACTCACGGACAGATGGACTGACACACGGTCGCGCAAATAGACAAAAGCAACGATGGACGGAAGCACAGAAGGGCTGACAGACGCTTCGCTCCACTCATGATCATTACCTCCAAGGATATGCGGTGATTTTTTTACTTTTTTTAGCTCTTCGAAAGAGGCGATGACAGCTATACTCTTGGGGTTTTTTCATTTTTGTCACTTCTATATGTGCTCCAGGAGGACTAGTCAGTCCTGTCCATCTCTTTTCGGTGATTACTTATCGTGTTCGGTGCTACTACAATGAGGTCTCTGCTTGCGACAAAGAAGCGGAAGCAGTTTTCGCTATGCGAGGAAGTGGATTGCACCACAGGAATGTGGATAAGCTGGAGGCCTTCGCAATGCAAAATTTGTCCTGCACGCGTTAAAAAAAATTAAAAAAAAAATCACAGACTTCTTTAAGTAAACGTGCATCTTCACATGTGCATTAATTTTTCTTGTGAAAAACGAGTTCAAGGACCCACCGTTTTAAAGGTAAGTAGTTTTGGTTGGTGAAAAATAAGTATTTATAGTTAATTTTGGGGCTTTCACTATAACGACCTTTCAAAATAATGAACGAATTGCCGTAGCCCCCTGAAGTTCATTATACCGAGATTTCACTGTAGTGTCAAGGGCGTATTCAGTCGGCAAATTGATAGCTATCGGAAAGATGGCGTGGAAAGGTAGAGTTGAGTCGCGGCCAAACAAAAGACAGAATAGTGAAAACCCAGCTGCATGGTGGCGTGAGGAGCTGTATGCAAATGTAACAAAGGACAATGCAACGTAGAAGTGTGGCAGCTTTGGCTAGTTGGTATGGCATGACGATAGTTATAGCACGAGAACAAGACGACGACTTCGTGTCCATC